ACCTAACTGTGTGTTTATCATAAAGTTGTCCCCCGTAAAATTCTTCCATAGAGAATGGTGTTGAGCCAGTGATAAATTGTGGGAATTGACGCTTTGGGAAAAAAGAAAAGAAAGAAAGTCCAGACGATTTTTTACTAGGAGGGAAAACCGAGAGATGTAAAATTTGAATCTGGACAATACTGGGTCGACTTGTGGAGACTGAACCATCCAAATTGCCCCCTAATTTGAATGGGATATGGACAATTAAAGGTCGTCGGAAAATGAGTAAGCACCAGAATTTTTTAATGCATATAAAGTATAATTGCGAACAGTTAATTAATAAATTTTTAGAAGAGGGACCCCTGAGCAACCAAAATTATGGTTACTATTTGCCCCATCACGGAGTGAAGAAGGATTTAAACCCTCCTTGAGAACTGTGTTTAATTGTATGCCCGGGAACAAAAAAAGTACCTATTTAAAAACTGTTTGATGACAGGTCCGTCTTGACGGGAAAAAATTTGGGATATTTATTAAATTTAGGTGAAAATTATGCCTTTACGGTGCATAATAAAGTTTCCTAAGAGGGGTTTACAAAGGCTGCCGGGATTTTACCCCTTCTTATGGCCTGAGAATCCTGTGACCCACTTAGCCCTATGAAAAACCCTTTTGCTTTAGAAGGTATTATTGGTTTCTACATCCAGTCCCTTTCCCACTTCAAGCGACATAAATTTCACACCTTAAAAGTACGGGGAAAGTCCATTGGGGAAAGTAATGAGCAAACAAATTTTTTGTGGCAAATTTTCCCGGGTGTGACTCAATGAAGAGGAACTGTTAATGATTTGGAGGCTAATAAAAAAATCAAAATGCAAATAGTCTGAGGGGTGGAATAGTATTCGTCCAATTAAAGGATAAAAAAAGAAAGAAACCCTGGAATAAAGTGCCAAAATGGAGTAATGTATTGGGTTTTTTTTCTTGGGATATGAGTATTAAACCCCGGGTTCCAATGGCCTTTATCCCAGGGGAAAAGGGAGCAAAAAAAAAACCAGCAAAAAAGTTTAAATTATATTTTCCCCTTTACCAATTTAGAACAGCAATATGTACCATGTACGTGATAGTTAGTGCACTCCTGGTTCAAGGCAGAAAAAGAAGCCACAAGAAAGCAGACCGTGCTTAACCCCCTCAGAATGGAAATGACAAGAAGAAGGAGAGTGGGACCCCATAACCTTGGGGATTTTCCAAAAACCCTCTTTTATTGGCTGAAAATGGTCACTAATTTAACGACGGGGCCCCTCACAACTCTTAGAACCGGGGTTTGCTGGTTGGGGGGGCGCCTGAAATGAGGGGGTGACATGTGCCCAATTAAGGTTCGTACTCTTTGCAGCCCCCAAATAGAGAGATTTGTTAATGTTAAAAAAATAAAAATTACAGTATGCCAATAAATTAACTAGGAGTTTTTGCTTGCTGAAGTTTCTAAATGTTTTTGATCCACTGGTTTTTGTGTCCCCCCTTCTTAAAAGGGAAATTGTTAATTCGGAAGATGGAAACTTAATGTGCCTGGGATAAAATTCTACCTGAGGAATTCATTAACAGGTGGGATGAATTAATTGGTGATTATGAAAAAATTCCAATGTTGGAGTTCCCACGCCAGATGGCTAATCCAAATGGGAAAAATGTACTCCACGTTTTTTGTGATGCTTCAAAATTGGCATATGGAGCAGTTGTTTACCTTCAGTGTAATAGTGTTATTTCTCTTGTTATGTCTAAGGTTAAAGTGTCTCCAATTAAATCACGTACCTTGCCTCAGTTGGAATTAACAGCCATTTATGTAGGTGTCAAATTAGCTAATTATGTAAGAAATAAGTTGCAGGAGGTAAATATTAGTGACACTGTAATTTGGTCTGATAATGAGGTATCCTTACAATGGATTCGCATTGGAAACAGTAAAATTGTGTATGTACAAAACAGAGTCGCTGAAATTTATCAGATGCAAGAGAAGTATAATAGTTTGGGTCAGCATTTGTTAACATTTAATCATATACCTGGTGAGGAGAATCCAGCTGATTTCTTGTCTTGAGGTTTACCTTATGCTAAATTTGTAAATGCTGTATCATGGTTTAAAGGACCGAGCTGGTTGGTAAATAAAGCTAATTGGCCTGTACAAAAGGCGTATATTGCTCCTGTTGAAATTATTGTGACCACCGCTCCAATAGTTTGTCCTTCCTTAGCCATTGATATAAATAGGTATTCTTCTTTACTCAATGTAACTAAGTTGGTGTTTAAATTTCTAAACAAGATGAATATATCATATAAGTTTTCACATCCTCTTGAATATTGGATAAAGAGGGTACAGGAGAAAATCTATGGAAATGAGATTAAATTGATGATGGAAAGAAAAATTGTGAAAGGTTCTATAATAGAGAAATTGGGGCTGTATTTAGAGAACAATGTAATTAGGTGCAGAGGTAGGTTACAAAATGCTGAATTGGGTGATTATGCTAAACACCCTATCTTACTGCCCAAAACTCATCATCTAACAAATTTAATTGTTCTAAATGCCCATAAAAATGTAATGCATGGTGGGGTACAAGATACCTTAAATTGTATTAGGGAAACTTTCTGGATTCCACAAGGATGGCAAAGTGTAAAAAGGGTGATTAAATCTTGTGTAATATGTCGCCGTGTGGATGCCAGATCCTATATGTGCCCAGGTCCTCCACCATTGCCAAATGAGCAATTTGAATTGTTTAGCAACGAACTCCGGCCGGCTGCAGTGTGGAAAATACTGTATATATTTTCCAGAAATTCAGTATTTATATGTAAATAGATGGCCATACTGTATTTAATAATATTTATGTCATAGAAAACGGAAAGCCTGCGTCGGTGCAGACGAGACTCGCCATCTTGGTTTTGAATTTTGTACAAACGTTGGTATAATGGGAAGAATTTTTCGTGCTCTAGAGGCTAAAATTGTGTTGACACCTCTCAAATAGGAGGCGAAATTGGTGGATGTGCATTCCTGCACAAGCTCTCTAGATTTGTGTGTAATTCTGGCCAGCATTATTTTCATAGATTTAGTTAAAGTGAGGTTTTCTGAGTATTTATTATTATTATTAAAGATTCGCCGGTATTCTCCCGGCCCAGGCCTTTTCCAAGTGGTGGCCCGGCCTTGGCTCCCTCTTTAGGGACTGTCTGAGACCTAAATCTCCCATGGGAGGAGGCACAAGTACCTCCTCATCTTTGGGACCAACTGTCCCCAGGCCTAGCCACAAACTAGGCCTCTCTGGTCTGTCATCCCCGCCCCAAGGGGGCTAATGGGAATGACAGTCTTGTGAGCTGTAAGCTCGGGCTCAGGCACCTACCCTACCCTAGAAGGGTTAGGCATGGTGTCGATGTTTCTGAGTATTTTTTTTTTTTCGCCGGTATTCTCCCGGCCCGGGTCTTTTCCAAGTAGTGGTGACCCGGCCTTGGCTCCCTATCTGGGGAGTGTCTCGAGACTTAAGTCTCCCATGGGAGGAGGCACAGTACCTCCTCATCTTTGGGACTAAGTGTCCCCAGGCCTAGCCACAGTCCCCACCCTCACGGGGCTCGTAGGGAGAAGCTAGGCCTCTGGTCTGCCATCTACCCCGCCTCAAAGGGGCTCGTGGGGATGGCAGTCTTATGAGCTGCAGATGTCTGAGTATGATACACATTAATCTCCAGTCAAATTGGCGAGTGATATTAAGATATATTTTCCTTCTGTTATGTAATTGTGTATATATATAACCATTTATTATTTTTAATATACAGTCCACAAATTTATATATTTACCAGTATTCCTGGTGTATGTATATTTAATTTAATTAACAGGTCAAGAGCAACTTGTGGTTATGACAGTGGTAGGTATCGAAGGGGGACATTTTTTGCGACCTAGGTGTCCCAAATTCCTACTTGTCTATGTAACATTGACAAATAATAATTATCTTTGTTGTCATTTACTGTTATGTACATAATTAGTTACATTCAGATAAATGCAATTTTCCACAAAATTGTACTATTGTAAATTGTGCTACACTGTACTTGTAATATTTTGCTACCTTTATATTGTAAATTGTACTAATTGTAGTGTGTAAGTATATTAATAATAGTCTGCCAGAAATGCATTAAGTATGTTAGTGGTTGTGTTTGTATTTAACAACATCTTAATACATGTAAACTACACATTGTGTACTACACAAAGAAATGTAGTTATCTTCTTATTTCATTTGAGACACATTTCTCTTATCAGGTACAATACAAATTTTATTTTTTGCAAAGGTAACAATGTGTGTTTTACATTTTATAAAGTGTTGTTTAAGTACAAAGAAAACCACTAACATGCCTGGCAGACTACTCCTAATACTGTATTTCAAATTAGACATAGGTTATAGAGTGGTAAATTTTAGTTATTCTTTATTTTATCTTATTACTAAAGTTAGGTAGCTAATTTTTTATATAATTAATGAGAATTAAATTAGTGAAGTAGCATAATACAAATAAAAGTATTACAATTAGTACAAGTTCCAATTTTACAACAGTACAATTTTTAATAAGTATAATTTTTTAAATTTATTAAAATGGTAAATTTTTAAGGATTTTTTGAGACGTTTCAAACTGTGCAAGAAAGGTATAAAATACCGACAATATGAAAGTTAAGACACATGTGCAACATTTGGATATCTTTATTGTAGACGTTTCGCCATCCAGTGGCTTTATCAATACAGATTCTAGGACATAATATGAAGACAGTAGAACTATATACAAAAGATGAATCTTATTCATCATCTTGCTGGTATCATATATTAATCTTACTATACTTATTGGACACAGCAGCAACATGGTGGAATATTAGTACACAGAATATCCCCACTTTCTGCCTATAGCACAGAGCCTTCATAATGACAACTGCTGTTCGTCGCACGTCAAACCTGGTTTAATATATTATTATCAATGATCATCAGTCCTCATCATACTACTGGATACACCACACACTGGTGGTGATATATTGCACCATCACGTGTAACCTTGAGCACCATAAAAACCTTGCACCAACAGCTATTCCTGTTCCTTACGTGTGCGGGTTTACTCACTCCACTAGTCTGCCTGTCTTTCTCACAAGATTCTCAAATAACTCGGTGTTTTATCAAGAATTTCCACAACTTTAGGTAAGATATACCTGAGAGATATGTTACCCTGGTATGTTCTTCCTTAATATAACAAGGATTTTTTGTATTTTCTAAGACTGAATGAATCATTGTGTGTTATCCCGATCTGTATATTTTAAACAGGAATATTTAGCTAATATATTAATCATGCAGGATGTTTAGTTATTATAATGGTGTCTAATATTCTGACTCGCCAAAGTGGTAATTATTTATAAATATAAAATAAAATCGCGTAGAGATGCATATACTATACGGTGGTTAGTGTTCTGAAAGCAGGATACGTACAGGTTCCCATTGTTAAGGAAATTATTAAAGTTATTAATAGTCAGATATATATATATATATATATATATATATATATATATATATATATATATATATATATATATATATATATATATATATATATATTTTATATATATAATATATATATATATATATATATATATATATAATATATATATATATATATATATATATATATATATATATAATATATATATATATATATATATATATATATATATATATATATATATATATATATATATATATATATATATATATATATATTTATATATATTTATATATAAATAATGCAGACCTGAAAATTGTGAGGGAGGTTATTATTGTGGCTGAGTTGGCAGGTCTTAACTGCTCGCTGTATGTATTGTGTTCCTTCCAAGTATTAACCATTTTCTTGGTACATCTCCATTATTATTATTATCAATATTAGAGCAAGCATAACTTTTGATATGTGTAATAGAGCTTTGAAGGCATGTAGAGTGTTTGTAGAGGATATAATGTGTTAAGAACCATCGACTCATCACCAACACTCTGGTCACAAGGGTGGGAGGAGCTCTGACTATTATACTACATAAATGACTCCACACACACTGCCTCCTACAAAATAATCACTCCAGATACACTACAAGAAACAGTGACAATATTTTCACTGGTTTTGGGATGTTGAGCAGTGTGGGAGACTGAGAAGCTCAGTGTTACTACACTAGTGCAAGATATCTTACACTGAATGTAGTTGACAGCTAACAAGAAGGTTATATAGAAAAGTAAGAGCCATGGCTACTTTATTTGACCAGTATGAGTCCCTGCAGTATGGGCTGAGTGGCGGCTACAAACATTCCATACTTGGCACTACAACTTTCAAGAATCAAAAACTGGAGGAAGAAGCTGCAATATTCTTGAAAGATCGCCAAGTTAACTTCATTCCTACACATCCTATTACTCATCTAGTTGTGTCCAACCATCACCTGGTCTTGGCCATGGCTAACAAGAAGTTAATACGAATAAATTTGCTTCAGTCCAACCCTAGCAATATAGAAGATCAAGAAGTGGACATTAGCAAATTTGCTCTGCAAGCAAAGATTCACAACATCTTTCTTGACCCAACAGGACAGCACCTCTTGATCAGTATTGTGAGTAGAGATGGGAACACTCCTGTAGACATGCTTTATCTGCCTCTGCGTTCTAATAAGCCAAAGTCAACCAATAAATTAAAAGGTCATCTTGTAACAGCTGTGGGGTGGAATCAGAAGAACCAGTCTGACAGCGTGACCGGACCAGTTTTGGTTGGAACGAGCAAAGGAGTGATTTTAGAAATGGAATTTACTTCGGATGAAAGACTTTTCCAGTCAAGTCATGAGGAATATTGTAAACAACTCTTTGACATAGGGAAGGATGTGCCTGTTACAGTGACTATGTTAGAAATCCATAGCAGTCCAACTGATGAGCTAAAATTTCTTGTGCTGTGTACTACTCACGACAAATTGTATCAGTTTTCAGGGCATATCAAGTCTTTAGAGGAAAGGCCAGTGTTTGTGTCAGTTTTTAGTAACTATTTAGGTTTACCGCCAAGGTTCGTTGAATTGCCCAGTAAGTGGAAAAACTCGTGGCTTCAGCTATATCATCCTCCAAATTCTTTGACACCTAAACATTTTGCATGGCTTTCTGAACAGGGTGTGTACACTGGAGATATTGTTTGGACAGGACCGCCAGATGATATGATAGTCAATAAAAAGCTCCACGCAAATCCTGAAGGCATTGAGAATAACGGCATTCCCTGTGGTATGATTGTTTGTGAGTTCCACGTTCTTATTGTGTGGCCAGACAAGATACGTGGATTGTGCATTCTTAATAATCAAGTTGTGTTTGAAGGTACGGTACCAGAGGAATGTGGAAAATTGATTGGGATATCGAAAGATTTGGTGAAAGGAACAATTTGGATTTATGCAGAAAGAGGAGTTTTTAAGTATAAGGTTGACAGAGAAGGGAGGAATGTGTGGCGAATATATCTAGATCATGGAAATTATGAACTGGCCAAGAAACATTGTAAATCAGACCCTTCATGTCTGTCTGTTGTGTTGTTACAAGAGGCTCAAGACCTCTTTCAAAAGAAAGAGTACCTTCAGAGTGCTATGCTTTTTGCTAAAACATTAACTTCATTTGAAGAAATAAGCTTGAAATTTGTTGAAGTAGAACAGGAAGAGGCATTAAAAATTTATTTACATGAGAAGTTGGATGCCCTGAAAGTGAGTGAGCAAACTCAGGTTACTTTAGTGGTGATGTGGTTGCTAGAGTTGTACCTCAAGCAGTTGGGGAACTTGCGGGATGCAGGAAAGCAAAACACCCAAGAGTACAGTAACTGTGATGAGCAGTTAAAAACTCTTCTTCGGGACCCAAAAGTACGTCAGTGTGTGACGAATAATTCAACGGCAATTTACGAGTTACTCTCTTCACATGATGATCAGGATAATTATGTGAGTGTTTCACTGATGCTCAAAGACTACGATCGGGTGCTACGTCATCTAATGCGTCATGGACGTCACACTGAGGCCCTGGAGGTATTGGCAACAAGAGGGTCTGAACAGTTGTTTTACCAACATTTTCCTGCACTGATGCAAACTGTTCCAGAAGCTGCAGTAGATGCCTTGATTTCACAGGGTAGGAGAATAAATCCTATAAAGTTACTTCCAAGCCTTGTTCATTGCCATACCTCACATGGCAGTGGGGCAGATATTCTTCGCTATTTAGAGTATTGTGTTGATAAATTAGAAGTTACTGATGAAGTACTGCATAATTTTTTGATAACCCTTTATGCCACTGAAGCTCCAGAAAAATTATTGCCGTACTTCAAGTTGCAGGGTGATGATAGTCAGAGTGTCCATTATGATGTCAAATTTGCTCTTAGGGAATGTATGTCAGTTGGGGAGGATAAAGCATGTGTGCACATACTCACCACCATGGGGCTTTATCAGGAAGCTGTAGAGTTAGCATTAAAGCTAGATACATCTTTAGCCAAGGCAACTGCAAATCGTCCTAAATATGATCAAGATTTGAGGAAAAAGCTTTGGCTAATGATTGCAGCTCATGTAGTTCAGGAAGAACAAGATGTGTCACGTGCCATGGAGGTCCTGAGGGAATGTGATCTTATTAAGATTGAGGACATTCTTCCATTTTTCCCAGACTTTGTAACAATTGATCAGTTTAAGGATGCCATATGTTCTTCACTTCAAGAATATAACCAACACATAGAAGATCTTAAACAAGAGATGGATGATGCATCTAAAGCAGCAGAGAATATTCGTAAAGATATTCAGAAGTTTAAGCAGAAGTTTTCATACGTACACTCACAAGATCGATGTTGCGAATGCAACTATCCTCTTCTTACAAGACCATTTTATTTGTTTCCTTGCTCTCACAAGTTCCATCAAGACTGTTTGTCAGACTCAGTCATGGGCTATTTAAGTGAGGTAAAACAAAAGAAAGTTTCAGAGCTAAAGGGAAAATTATTGGCAATATCTAATGATGAGTGTGGAATAGGAACAGCAGGATTTTGGGGCGATAGAGAGCAAATTAGAGCAGAAATAGACAGCTTGGTGGCAGGGGAGTGCCTCTATTGTGGTGAAAATGTTGTGTCCAATATCGACTCTCCATTTATCAGTAATAGAGACTGGGATGCTCTTATGGCTGAATGGCAGTAAGGAAGCTGCTTTCCATAATGTACAATTTGTGATCTGTTAATTAAAGGAAGATAATTTTTTGTAATTTATATATATTGTATATTTTACTTTATTTAATGTCATAATGTTTTATATATGTATGTATGTATGTAAATTATATATATATATAATATATATATATATATATATATAATATATTTATTATATTATATTATATTTATATATATATATATATAATATATATATATATAGTATATATATATATATATATATATATAAATGAGAGCTGTATTTCTAATTTATATTTGAACTACTGTGCAGTACTATCTGTTGTATACTCTGTTAGTACATTAGTGCTTCATTTAATACAAATTTTGTAAATGTCCAACAAATTTGGAGATTATATTGCTTTGTATCATGATACTGTACATCTGCTTTATAATTGAAATGATAAAATTTTGAATATTAATTGCCTATCTCAGAAATGAATCAATAAAATGTATTTAATGGATTAATTTTTGTTACCTACCTCTTCCTCTTTCTCTGTAGTTACAACTAAATAATGATCTGATATATCTGTTGCCCCTCAAAAAACATGCACATCCAGAAGTCTACCCATCAACCTTTTCTCTACTAATGCTGGATTAATATAATAATAAAGTATAGTGTTATTAAAAATGAGGTGCTGTAAGGTTACTAGAGAGTTCCTTATATAATGTTATAAAAAGTATATATGAGTTACAAGATGAGGTAGTGCTTCAGCCACTGGAAATTAAAGAAAATTGTGATATATGTACTGTACTGTATTTAATACTGAAGACAGGACACAACACACTTGCCCAATACTTGGGTTCTTATGTCAGTGTTGGAGTCTTGGTTAAATGGTTAAAACTACTATTTTTTTTTTCTTCTTCTTCTTCTTCTTCTTCTTCAACAAGTTGGCCACCTCCCACCTAGGCAGGGTGACCCAAAAGGAAAGAAAATCCCCCAAAACGAAAATAATTTCATCATCGTTCAACACTTTCACCTCGCTCATACGTAATCACTGTTTTTGCAGAGGCACCCAGATAAAACAGTTTAGAAGCAAATATAAAGATATATTACACATCCCTCCAAACTGCCAATATCCCAAACCCCTCCTTTAAAATGCAGGCATAGTACTTCATATTCCCAATACTCAAGTCCAGCTATATAAAAATAACCAGTTTCCCTGAATCCCTTCACTAAATACTGTATTACCCTGCTCACACTCAACAGCTCGTCAGGTCCCAAAAACCATTCATCTCCATTTACTCCTATCTAACGTGCTCATGCACGCTTGCTGGAAGTCCAAGCTCCTCGCCCACTAAACCACCTTTACCCCGTCCCTCCAACCTTTTCAAGGACGACCCCTACCCCACCTTCCTTCCACTACAGATTTATACGCTCTCCATGTCATTCTACTTTGATCCATTCTCTAAATGACCTATCTCAGAAATGAATCAAAATGTATTTTGGATTAATTTTTGTTACCTACCTCTTCCTCTTTCTCTGTAGCTACAACTAAATAATGATCTGATATATCTGTTGCCCCTCAAAAAACATGCACATCTAGAGGTCTACACATCAATCTTTTATCTACTAATGCTGGATTAATTTCCACACTTCTAATTCTCTGCATAATATTTACACCACACATTGCCCTTAGGAGGACATCTCCACTGCCTCCAACCACCTTCTCGCTGCAGCATTTACAACAAAAGCTTCACACCCACATAGGAGTGTTGGTACCACTATACTTTCATACATTCTTTTCTTTGCCTCCATTGATAATGTTTTTTTGTCAAAACATATACCTCAATGCACCACTCACCTTTTTTCCCTCATCAATTCTATGGTTAACCTCATCCTTCACAAACCTATCTGCTGACACATCAACTCCCAAATATCTGGAAACATTCACTTCTTCCATACTCCTCCTCTCCAATGTGATATCCAGTTTTTCTTTATCTAAATCATTTAATACCCTCATCACCTTACTCTTATCTATGTTCACTTTCAACTTTTTACCTTCACACACCCTCCCAAACTCGTCCACTAATCTTTGCAACTTTTCTTTAGAATCACCCATAAGCACAGTATCATAAGCAAAAAGTAACTGTGTTAACTCCCATTTTGTATTTGATTCCCCATAATTTAATCCCACCCCTCTCCCCAACACCCTAGCATTTACTTCTTTTACAACCCCATCTATAAATATATTAAACAATCATGGTGACATTACACATCCCTGTCTGAGACCTACTTTTACCGGGAAGTAATCTCCCTCTCTTCTACACACCCTAACCTAATCCTCACTATCCTCATAAAAACTTTACAGCATTTAGTAACTTGCCACCTATTCCATATACTACTTGCAACATCTGCCATATTGCTTCCCTATCCACTCTATCATATGCCTTTTCTAAATCCATAAATGCAATGAAAACTTCCCTACCTTTATCTAAATACTGTTCACATATATCTTCTTCTTTGTTGGGTTTATGAGGGCCACTGACAGCAAACGCCGTATCGAGCCCAGTTTTTCGATGGGACTAGAAAAAATTGTTGCCCAAGGCTGGGCATTGAGAGAAAAGGAACAAAAGTTCCTTTGTAAATAGAGATAGAAACTGGAAGTTTCCAATTAGATCTGGTGGACCCCCTTGCCAAGCCCCAGCAGAGAGGGACGCCAACACCCCCACCTGAGTTCAGTAACCGGCTTCCCACCAAAGACCGTTAAAGAATTTCCCGCAGAGCGGAAAAAATGGAACTGGCTAAAGTAAGCCGATGAACAGGTGCCCCTCCTGTAGAGTGCCCGGTAGGCTAAATAGATGAGGACAAGCGTCCCAGTGAGAATGGGGGAAATTTGTCACTGATACTCAGGCGAGAGAGAGAGATGTCTACCCCCGACAAAGGCTGGCGCAGAAGTATCCTGTTCACATATATGCTTCAATGTAAACACTTGATCTACACATCCCCTACCCACTAAAACCTCCTTGCTCATCTGCAATCCTACTCTCTGTCTTACCTCTAATTCTTTCAGTAATAACCCTACCATACACTTTCCCTTGTATACTCGGTAAACTTATTCCCCTATAATTTTTACAATCTCTTTTGTCCCCCTTCCCTTTATATAAAGGAACTATACATACTCTCTGCCAATTCCTAGGTACCTTCCCCTCTTCCATACATTTATTAAACAAAAATACCAACCACTCCAACACTATGTCCCCCCCTGCTTTTAACATTTCTGTCATGATCCCATCAGTTCCAGCTGCTTTACCTCCTTTCATTCTATGTAATGCCTCACGCACCTCCCCCACACTCACACCCTGCTCTTCTTCACTCCTAAAAGATGTTATACCTCCCTGGCCAGTGCATGAAATGGCCACCTCCCTTTCTTCATCGACATTTAAAAGTTCCTCAAAATATTCCTGCCATCTACCCAATACCTCCAGCTCCCCATCTACTAACTCCCCTACTCTGTTTTTAACTGACAGATCCATTTGTTCCCTAGGCTTTCTTAACTGTATCTCAATTCAAATTTTTTTTCTTGTTTTCATCAAAATTTCTTGACAGTGCCTCTCCCACTCTTATCATCAGCTCTCCTTTTGCATTCTCTCACCACTCTCTTCACCTTTCTTTTGCTCTCCATATACTCTGCTCTTCTTATAACACTTCTACTTTGTAAAAGCCTCTCATAAGCTACCTTTTTCTCTTTTATCACACCCTTCACTTCATTATTCCACCAATCACTCCTCTTTCCTCCTGCACCCACCCTCCTATAGCCACAAACTTCTGCCCCACATTCTAATACACTGTACTGCATTTTTAAAACTATTCCAACTCTCTTCAACCCCCAACCCCCACTACTTATACTTGCATTAGCCTACCTTTCTGCCAATAGTTGCTTATATCTCACATTAACTTCCTTCTCCCTTAGTTCATACACTTTCACCTCTTTCTTACATGTTATTTCCATTTTCCTTTCATCCCATCTACCTCTTACTCTAACTGTAGCTACAACTAAATAATGATCCAATATATCAGTTGCCCCTCTATAAACATGTACATCCTGAAGCCTACCCATCAACCTTTTATCCACCAATACATAATCTAACAAACTACTTTCATTACGTGCTGTATCATACCTTGTATACTTATTTGTCCTATTTTTTCATAAAATATGTATTACCTGTTACCAAACCTCTTTCTGCACATAGGTCAATTAAAGGCTCCCCATTTTCATTTACTCCTGGCACCCTAAATTTACCAATTACTCCCTCCACATCATTTTTACCCACTTTAGCATTGAAATCCCCAACCACAAGTACTCTCACACTTGGTTCAAAACTCCCCATGCACTCACTCACCATTTCCCTAAATCTCTCTCCTCTACACTTCTCTCTTCTCCAGGTGCATAAATGCTTACTATAACCCACTTTTCACACCCAATCCATATTTTACTCCACATAATTCTTGAATTAATACATTTATATTCCCTCTTTTCCTGCCATAACTTGTCCTTCAACATTATTGCTACTCCTACTTTAGCTCTAACTCTATTTAAAACCCCTGACCTAATCCCATTTATTTCTCCCCACTGAAACTCTCCCATGCCATTCAGCTTTGTTTCACTTAAAGCCAGGACATCCATTTGCTTCTCATTCATAACATCCATAATCATCTCTTTCTTATCATTCACACAACATCCACGCACATTCAAACTTTCCACTTTGATGGTTTTCTTTGTTTTCTTTTTAGCAGGCTCTACAGGAAAAGAGGTTTGTGGCATGCAGAGAGTACGTAACCTTTATTCGGCGCATGTACACACCCTCATTTATAGGCTATCTCCCCCAACCAGCAAACCAGGTTGCTAAGAGTTGATGATGGGGCCCCGTTGTTCAACTAGTGACCAGGTTCTAGCCAATAAGAAGATGGTTTTGGCAATCGCAGAGGTTATGTGGGTACCGCTCTCCTGTCTGCCCTTGTCATTCCCATTCTAGAGCTGGTTGAAGCACGGTCTGCTATCTTGTGGCTTCTATTTTTGCCTTGCTTACCGTGGAGTGCACTATACTTATCACTGTACATAGTGTACATACTGCTGTTCTAAATTGGTGAAGGATAATGTAAGTCTAAACTTTTTCTGCTATGTTTATTTTGCTCCCATTACACCCGGGATAACAGGCCATTTGGAATCCTGGGTTGTAATAAGGTTACTAGCCTATTGTTCCTAGCATTTTAGTTGACTTTTACAACATGCATGGCTTATGGAGGAAAAATTCTTATTCCACTTCCCCATGGATATAAAAGGAAAAGCAATAAGAACAAGAACTATTAAGATAAAATCAAAGGAAACTCAGATGAGTGTGTATACATAAATGTGTACATGTATGTGCAGTGTGACATAAATGTAAGTAGAAGTAAAAAGATGTACCTGAAATCTTGCATGTTTATGAGACAAAAAAGACACCAGCAATCCTGTCATCATGTAAAACAATTACAGGCTTTTGTTTTACACTCACTTGGCATGACGGTAGTGCCTCCCTGGGTGGTTGCTGTCTACCAACCTACTACCTATGTTTATTATTTTTTTACCACATTGCTGCAGCCCACCAAGGTAGTAACCCCAAAAAATAAGAAAACACATTCACTATCATTCATTCAATAGCTGTCTTGCTGAAAGTGTGCAATTACAGTTCAAATGACCCTCTGAAATACTGCTTCCCTACCCCTTTTAGAAGGCAAGCCATGTACAATACGTACTTCTCATCTCCAGGATTTTATCCAGCTAACTGTGGCATGTTTGTGTCATGGTGAGGTGGTGTGAAGTATTCCCTAAAACGACAAAAGTTTTAGAGACTGATAAATTAATGAGGAATGTGTGATAGTGAATTTATGATGTGTAACTGCTATTTTATTACCTGGAGTTTACCTGGAGAGAGTTCCGGGGGTCAACGCCCCTGCAGCCCAGTCTGTGACCAGGCCGCCTGGTGGATCAGAGCCTGATCAACCAGGCTGTTACTGCTGGCTGCACACAAACCAACGTACGAGCCACAGCCTGGCTGGTCAGGAACCGACTTTAGGTGCTTGTCCGGTGCCAGCTTGAAGACTGCCAGGGGTCTGTTGGTAATCCCCCTTATGTATGCTGGGAGGCAGTTGAACAGTCTCGGGCCCCTGACACTTATTGTATGGTCTCTTAACGTGCTAGTGACACCCCTGCTTTTCATTGGGGGGATGTTGCATCATCTGCCAAGTCTTTTGCCAAACTTCTGTGAACAACATAAGTGTATTTTGAGTAACACGAAGCAAAACATAACAAATTGTGAATAGTGCTTCCTTGGAAGCTGGTCTCTAACTGCTGGCCATAGACATGCCAGTTAAACACGAATTGTTTACAAAATATGGATAAAACTACAAGAACATTCTAAGTTTCCTGTCTGCTGCTTCAAAAATATTGCTAAAAATATACCACCTTAATTTTATGTAAATTTACATAGTTAAATCTAACATTCAATCTCTCCATAAAACTGAAGGGCATTGAATCAGTTTGAAATAAGTTGTACCATTAGTTCATTAGCTACCTTTCTTATTGTGCATATAATTGTTTACTCACTTCTTCTGATCCCTCCTGGAACAACCCCTATTCCTCCTCCCTCTCTTCCTCCTTCCTAAAAAATTTATAATTTTCATGAATTCAAAGGGGAAGGGGGGAGTTCCTTGATGCAGTTAAAGGGTTCTTGATCTAAGGAATTAGAGCTGTCCTCCTCAGGTCAAACCTGATTATCTTCCCCCTGTATTTTCCCCACCAGGGTACAGTTTTAATATTTAGGATTTTTTTAATTTAGAAAATAGTAGCATTTTCTTTCATTGTTCTCTTATTACTAATTTTTTTGTATCCTGCCTTTGGCTTTGTCTACCACCACAAAGTGGCTAAACAATCTCACATCCTCTTCGTCTCTTTTAAAATTTATTTATGAAATTTTTTAAAACCCCCTTTTTTGAGAAAGATTTGAGGTCTTTGCACTTTTTTGATATAAAAAATAAATAGATCTCTTTCCAAAAATAAACTCTCCCTGAGAAATTTTGAAAAAAAAAAAAAAATTGAACCAACATTGAGAACCTATGAGAGAAAAAATAACTTTTTTAACAGTGGTAAGATCTGGTAGGGTGAGTGGAGCAGAAAATTTCACCCCAAAAATAACTTATTAACAGGGAAGATCCAGTAGAGTGAGTGGTGCAGAAATTTTACCTTTTAATTTTAAATAAAAAAAATTCTAAAATTTAAAAAAATGGTTAATTTTTCAGCCTGCCTGTATATAATACATCTGGGTGAGTAAAAATAAAAAAACGTGTCTTCTGGCGTCAACAAGGAGGATCAACCCCAAAATTCTTGCGCTGAATACCCACATGGGTTTGCATTAAATGAATGATTTAAATTTAGCTATTGATATTCCTTTGTTTATTTATTAAAAATTTTTTTTATTTTTTTTTTATGGTTAAGTATATGTTTACCTGGGTTTTTCTTGGGGGGAAATTTCGGGGTCAATGCCCCCGCGGCCCGGTCTGTGACCAGGCCTCCTGGTGGATCAGAGCCTAATCAACCGGGCTGTTGCTGCTGGCTGCACGCAAACCAACGTACAGCCACAGCCTGGCTGATCAGGAACTGATTTAGGTGCTTGCCCCAGTGCTAGCTTAAGACTGCCAGGGGTCTGTTGGTAATCCCCCTTGTGTGCTGGGAGGCAGTTGAACAGTCCTCGGGCCCCTGACACTTATTGTATGGTCTTTTAAAACGTGCTAGTGACACCCCTGCTTTTCATGGGGGATGGTGCATCGTCTGCCAAGTCTTTTGCTTTCGTAGTGAGTGTTTTTTCGTGTGCAATTTCGTACTAGTCCCTCTAGCATTTTCCAGGTGTATATAATCATGTATCTCTCCCTCCTGCGTTCCAGGGAATACAGGTTTGGGAAACCCCAAAAGCGCTCCTAGTAATTGAGGTGTTTTATCTCCGTTATGCGCGCCGTGAAAGTTTCTCTGTACATTTTCTAGGTCGGCAATTTCACCTGCCTTAAAAGGTGCTGTTAGTGTGCAGAAAATATTCCAGCCTAGATAGAACAATGACCTGAAGAGTGTCATCATGGGCTTGGCCTCCCTAGTTTTTGAAGGTTCTCATTACCCCATCCTGTCATTTTTCTAGAAAGATGCGTTTGATACAATGTTATGGTCCTTGAAGGTGAGATCCTCCGACATGATCACTCCCAGGTCTTTGACGTTGGGTGTTTCGCTCTATTTTGTGGCCAGAATTTGTTTTGTACTCTGATAAAAGTTTTAATTTCCTCGTGTTTACCATATCTGAGTAATTAAAAATTTCTCATCGTTGAACTTCATATTGTTTTCTGCAGCCCACTGAAAGATTTGGTTGATGTCCGCCTGGAGCCTTGCGTGCCCTGCAATGGAAGACACTGTCATCAGATTCGGGTGTCATCTGCAAAGGAAGACACGGTGCTGTGGCTGACATCCTTGTCTATGTGGGATATGAGGATGAGGAACAAGATGGAGCGAGTACTGTGCCTTGTGGAACAGAGTTTTTCACCGTAGCTGCCTGGGACTTTATTCTGTTGACGACTACTCTGTGTTCTGTTAGTGAGGAAATTATAGATCCATCGACTGACTTTTCCTGTTATTCCTTTAGCACGCATTTTGTGCGCTATTACGCCATGGTCACACTTGTCGAAGGCTTTTGTAAAGTCTGTATATATTACATCTGCATTCTTTTTGTCTTCTAGTGCATTTAGGACCTTGTCGTAGTGATCCAATAGTTGAGACAGACAGGAGCGACCTGTTCTAAACCCATGTTGCCCTGGGTTGTGTAACTGATGGGTTTCTAGATGGGTGGTGATCTTGCTTCTTAGGACCCTTTCAAAGATTTTTATGATATGAGCAGACAAGCTGCAATAAATTCCAAATTTTTATGGCAGTTTAGTAGAGCAATTATTCTATGTATTTTGTGTTTAAGAATTTACTGTAATATGTCTAATATTTTCAGAATTATGGGAAGTGTAGAGGCTGCACTGACTCTACTAGATGACCTCAGTACAAAAGATAAAAGAGCTTGCATAGAGCTCCTGATACGAATTTTTAGAAATGTCGTCAGTCATCCAGATGATTCCAAGTATCGGTTAGTTTCTCTTTTGCTGAAGATATCTGTATAATAATTGATTTTTCATAAAAATTGTGGAGGACTTCTTGAATGAAGTTTGTAGTGAAATTAACAAAACCGAGAGAGAAAATAAATGCTTGATAAACACTGTATTGTAAGTAACATATACAGTACAGTGTATTAAGTAACTGAACACACGCACACAACATTTTGGATGCTTTAATATAGGCTATAGTTTGCTCATCCGGAGCTTTGTATGGCTTTAATGTACATAACTGGACAGAGCAATGGTGTTGCCAGGAAAGGGCCTCAAGCATTTGTATCAAGGAAAGGGCCTCAAGCATTTGTATCAAGGAAAGGGCCTCAAGCATTTGTATCAAGGAAAGGGCCTCAAGCATTTGTATCAAGATTATAGCTTAGAATTAAAATTTTGTGTGACAATTCAGCATAAATAATTTTTTCACATAAAGAAATAGATTAAATTACAAAGTGGGGAAGTAGCAGTTGAATAAGCTAGCAGTAAGGTACGGTTGATGATGGGTCACTTCAACAAGCAACAGGTTGAGCTACATTAGCTAGCAAAAGTCTATAAAACAATGTATGTATACACAAAAGTCACTAGCATTAGACTAACTGTTTAAACTTAGCATGGAATTGACTGATATAATTGGCAACTAGTACACTTAAAAATTGGGGATAGAGATTTATTTTGTGGCTCCAGATCATCCCTGCAGACACTGAAGAGCCCAACCTGCAGTGAAATAGATAATAAATATTTATAACAAACATTAAAAGCAACCTAATAACTTCAAAAAATATAAGCTTTCTGATCTTCTATATACTGATCTCATCCCTTATAAGCATTAGCAACCATGATAAGACAGACTAAGAAGCATTACAGAGTATCAGTGGTGGCTTGTAACGCCAGTAATGCCTATACATACATGCTATCGTACCACATTGAACTTCTATTTTTAATCATTTATCTCGTTTCAACAAAAAAATAAAAAATTTGCTTATAAATACATAGAAAACAATATACAACAGATTTTCCCTGCAATATATTTGTCAGCTGCAAATTATTTTAGTGTAAGGTTGATCAAGTCATATGTCTGGCAGTGAGCATCTGGGGGGACTGCAGCTCTGCAGCTCCTATGGACATGCTGCCACTGCACAGTATGCATATATAAGGCAGATCCTACTTGATCTGGGTATTCATATGTTCACAGTAAAAAAAATACACATCCTTTTTTTAAATAATAAGATCTGATAGAATAGAGATACCATTAAGCAATGCTATATGATTTGTTCTGAAATGATAAATATACATATGGATGATAGAATTTCCACCAGAAGATGTGGTTGTAATTGTTAGAATTTTGTTGGGAAATTTATGTAGTAGGCAAGCAGTAACTTGACAAATGAACCACTGAATTCTTAGCATTTCAGGTGCAAGACCTGCAAAAGTTAAAAAAAAATAAAAAAAAAATAAACATTACACTGTGGAGTGCCCAGAAATCAAGATCTTTTGACCTACTAGACTGAAGTTTTTGAACATTTATAATTATGGAATTGTCCACTGTGAGTTTGCAAATACCGGATTCCAACCGAGTGTTGATGCAGAGTGGGAGCAGCAATAACTGGAACAGGAGTAGATAGTTTTAGCGTGTGTGTGTGTGTGTGTGTGTGTGTGTGTATGTGTGTGTGTGTGTCTGTCTGTCTGTCTGTGTGTCTGTCTGTGTGTCTGTGTGTGTGTGTCTCTGTCTGTCTGTCTGTGTCTGTCTGTGTCTGTCTGTGCTGCACAAGTTCTGAACCTATGTCCTTCACCTCTTGTAGATATCCTGGTCTTCCAGTTGAGCCTAAGAGAGGGTGTGCTTTTTTGTCTCATAAAGTCTTGTTTTAATTATATTTGTAATTTTCCCTGGCCTCCTTGTGAAATTATTAATTTATAAATACAGGGGTGCTATGTGTTTGTAGTATATGTTCTGCACACAAGGGGCCTTTGATATGTACACTCAACCACTGTATTTCTTTTGTACAACTTTGTATCACGTCCAAATAATAATAAATAAATAAATGTACATGGGTATGTGTACATTATATTTTTAAGTGCTGTGTATACTTCTTAATTATCCATTTTAAATGCTACTTACCACTTGCTCATACTATTTACTGTTAAAATTTGAGTGCATATACATATGTTAGTATCAGTGTATGTATTACCAGTATGGCCTGTGAGGCTAATCCATATCTAGTGCATTATGTCCTGTAAATACTAGTTCATGTTTTGTGTATACATTGTCCTATAAATGCTAGTTAATGTTCTGTTCTCACTTTTACATGTGTGTATTTTTCCTTGTTTATTTTCATTAAACTAATTCTGCAAGATTTTGCCATTCGATTATCTCATAATTTTCACAAAATGTTTACTGCAATTTTTATATTATTTATTATATTTTTGTGAACCTTTTGTTAGGACATTGAAGATAACCAACAAGACATTCAATGGTGATGTGTGGCAGCATGAAGCTGGTAGAATGGTGATGAAGGCTGCTGGCTGGGTGACCATAGGGGATACTGTACAATTGCCATCGCACGTGAACCTCACATTGGAGCTTCAAGTAATTCTTGCAAATAGGTAACGAATTTAAGTCCTTTACTCGATTGAAGGTCCTATAAAATAGGAACATAGACTATACTGTACTAATATCTTAATCATGAAGGACATTATACTGTATATCTGTTTGTGTGTTTATAAAGTGCTTGAAAAAATAAACCAGACCTCCCATTTCTTTTTACAAAAATCATAAGAAAGCAACAATATAAACATTATAGAACAAAAACTAATACTGTACTTGGTACAGTATTACTTTGCCTTGATGACCATTCAAAGCTGTCTGTGCATGCTTTCCCTCAGATTTCTGAAGCAGTCAGTGGATAACCATTAGAGCCAGATGTCCTTGATCTGTTGCAGACATGACATGGATTAAATGTGGCAGGATTCTATCTTGTTTTTTATAATATTCCAGGCATTCTCAGTATAATTGAGGTCTGGACTATTCCCTGGCCACTGTCAAACCTCGATATTTTTCTCGGCAACCCACTTGGTAACTTTTTTTGCCTGGTGATGGGGTGCTATCATTTGTGAAGGTGGTACAATTGTTAATTTAAAAAAAAAAATATTTAACAGGTGGTCTTTAGAGAATGGTTAGGTAGCAGTTGGCATTTATTGTAATGTTTTTTGAGAAGTACAAATCCCCCCACAACAAAGTAAACCATTAACCCTTTGACTGTTTCAGGCCCCTCTCTGAAACTGTCATTCTATGTCGCTCAATTTTTGAAAAAAAAAAAAAAAATTTTTTCTTATGAAATGATAGAGAATCTTTTCCCGATGGTAATGACACCAAAAGTTCAAAATTTGGTCGAAAACTCATGGAATTATGCTCCCGCGAAGTTAGCGGTCTTGGCGACATATGCGTATCGGCGATTTCGCCGACTTTGAGCCCTATTTTCAGCCAATTCCATTGTTCCAGTTGACCAAACTCATAGCTATTTCTTTAGAACTCCATTTTATCTATCAGCTGATACAAGAACCTCCCATTTAAATAATTTGGACACCCAATATGGTGGTCAGAAATTGGCAATTTGGCCAATTTCACGCCCAAAAAAAAAAAGGGTGCTAATTTCAAAATAGGGTCCAGAATAAACAAGGTAGACATTCGTGGCACAAAATAACATATGCTCTGTTCATTAGTCACATCTCTAGGCCCCTCTTATATTATTATTGCTTTCTATTTTGATTTTTTATTCATACAAAAAAATACTTCTTCTTATTCTTTTTAGTAATCTTTACAGGAAAAGGGGTTACTAGCCCATTGTTCCCGGCATTTTAGTTGACTTTTACAACACGCATGGCTTACGGAGGAAAGAAAATTCTTATTCCACTTCCCCATGGATATAAAAAAGGGAAAAATTTTAGACCAAGAACTATTAAAAATAAAATCAAAGAAAACTCAGATGAGTGTGTATAAATAAATGTGTACATGTATGTGTAGTGTGACCTAAGTGTAAGTAGAAGTAGCAAGACATGCCTGTAATCTTGCATATTTATGAGACAGACAAAAGACATCAGCAATCCTACCATCATGTAAAACAATCACAGGCTTCGTTTTACACTCACTTGGCAGGACGGTAGTACCTCCCTGGGTGGTTGCTGTCTACCAACCTACTACCTTAATATTTAGTAATATTTAGTGAAGGGATTCAGGGAAACCGGGTTTTTTTCATATATCGGGGCTTGAGTCCGGAAATGGGAAGACAATGCCTGCACTTTAAAAGGGGGGGGTTTGGGATATTGGCAGTTTGGAGGGATATGTTGTGTATCTTTATATGTTTATGCTTCTAGACTGTTGTATTCTGAGCACCTCTGCAAAAACAGTGATAATGTGCTAGTGTGGTGAAAGTGTTGAATGATGATGAAAGTATTTTCTTTTTGGGGATTTTCTTTCTTTTTTGGGTCACCCTGCCTCGGTGGGAGACGGCCGACTTGTTTTAAAAAAAAAAAAAAAAAAAAAAAAAAATACAAAATTTACTGTTAGCAGACGACTGCATTATTGTAAAAATGGTATAAATAAATCAGTGCACTAGTGAAAGAAAAATTAGACTCCCCCGTTGACTGTTTTTGGACGTGTGGTGTGATTTATTTACTCTTGAACATTGGTAAAAATCGAACATTTCCGCTACTTTGAGCTCAGTTTCAAGGTCGTTTTCATCGTAAAAGTAATGAAAATCATCTCTGTTTCTGTAATATTTTTCCATTTATCACCTAAGACCATGAAAACGCAATACAACGATAAATACTATACGAAAATACACATCAAAGTCGGCGTTTATTCCAAAAAAAAAGATCAGAGTTTTTTTTTCTCATTACGTAATGTGTGCTGCGGGATTTTTTTTACGTGGTGCACACTGACCACACAGACCCATTCTCTCACATGTGGGCCTACCAGCTTTCTCCCACTTGATTTGAAGCCGCTAGAATTTTTTTTTTTTTTTTTTTTTTTTTTTCAACAAGTCGGCCGTCTCCCACCGAGGCAGGGGGGACCCAAAAAAGAAAGAAAATCCCCAAAAAGAAAATACTTTCATCATCATTCAACACTTTCACCACACTCGCACATTATCACTGTTTTTGCAGAGGTGCTCAGAAAAACAACAGTCTAGAAGCATAAACATATAAAGATACACAAAATTACCCTCCAAACTGCCAATATCCCAAACCCCTCCTTTAAAGTGCAGGCATTGTACTTCCCATTTCCAGGACTCAAGTCCGACTATATGAAAATAACCGGTTTCCCTGAATCCCTTCACTAATATTACCCTGCTCACACTCCAACAGATCGTCAGGTCCCAAGTACCATTCGTCTCCATTCACTCCTATCTAACACGCTCACGCACGCTTGCTGGAAGTCCAAGCCCCTTACCCACAAAACCTCCTTTACCCCCTCTCTCCAACCCTTTCGAGGACGACCCCTACCCCGCCTTCCTTCCCCTATAGATTTATATGCTTTCCATGTCATTCTACTGTGATCCATTCTCTCTAAATGACCAAACCACCTCAACAACCCCTCTTCTGCCCTCTGACTAATACTTTTATTAACTCCACACCTTCTCCTAATTTCCACACTCCGAATTTTCTGCATAATATTTACACCACACATTGCCCTTAAACAGGACATCTCCGCTGCCTCCAACCGTCTCCTCGCTGCTGCATTTACCACCCAAGCTTCACACCCATATAAGAGTGTTGGTACTACTATACTTTCATACATTCCCTTCTTTGCCTCCATAGATAACGTTTTTTGACTCCACATATACCTCAACGCACCACTCACCTTTTTTCCCTCATCAATTCTATGATTAACCTCATCCTTCATAAATCCATCCGCCGACACGTCAACTCCCAAGTATCTGAAAACATTCACTTCTTCCATACTCCTCCTCCCCAATTTGATATCCAATTTTTCTTTATCTAAATCATTTGACACCCTCATCACCTTACTCTTTTCTATGTTCACTTTCAACTTTCTACCTTTACACACATTCCCAAACTCATCCACTAACCTTTGCAATTTTTCTTTAGAATCTCCCATAAGCACAGTATCATCAGCAAAAAGTAACTGTGTCAATTCCCATTTTGAATTTGATTCCCCATAATTTAATCCCACCCCTCTCCCAAACACCCTAGCATTTACTTCCTTTACAACCCCATCTATAAATATATTAAACAACCATGGTGACATTACACATCCCTGTCTAAGACCTACTTTTACCGGGAAGTAGTCTCCCTCTCTTCTACACACCCTAACCTGAGCCTCACTATCCTCATAAAAACTCTTTACAGCATTTAATAACTTACCACCTATTCCATATACTTGCAACATCTGCCACATTGCTCCTCTATCCACTCTATCATATGCCTTTTCTAAATCCATAAATGCAATAAAAACTTCCCTATCTTTATCTAAATACTGTTCACATATATGCTTCAATGTAAACACCTGATCTACACATCCCCTACCCACTCTAAAACCTCCTTGCTCATCCGCAATCCTACATTCTGTCTTACCTCTAATTCTTTCAATTATAACCCTACCGTACACTTTTCCTGGTATACTCAGTAAGCTTATTCCTCTATAATTTTTACAGTCTCTTTTGTCCCCTTTCCTTTATATAAAGGGACTATACATGCTCTCTGCCAATCCCTAGGTACCTTCCCCTCTTTCATACATTTATTAAACAAAAGTACCAACCACTCCAACACTATATCCCCCCTGCTTTTAACATTTCTGTCATGATCCCATCAGTTCCAGCTGCTTTAAACCCCCTTTCATTTTACGTAATGCCTCACGTACTCCCCCACACTTACATTCTGCTCTTCTTCACTCCTAAAAGATGGTATACCTCCCTGACCAGTGCATGAAATTACTGCCTCTGTTTCTTCCTTAACATTTAAAAGTTCCTCAAAATATTCTCGCCATCTACCCAATACCTCCATCTCCCCATCTACTAACTCCCCTACTCTGTTTTTAAACTGACAAATCCATATTTCCCTAGGCTTTCTTAACTTGTTTAACTCACTCCAAAATTTTTTCTTATTTTCATTAAAATTTCTTGACAGTGCCTCTCCAACTCTATCATCTGCTCTCCTTTTGCACTCTCTCACCACTCTCTTTACCTTTCTTTTACTCTCCATATACTCTGCTCTTCTTATAACACTTCTGCTTTGTAAAAACCTCTCATAAGCTACCTTTTTCTCTTTTATCACACCCTTTACTTCATCATTCCACCAATCACTCCTCTTTTCCTCCTGCCCCCACCCTCCTATAACCACAAACTTCTGCCCCACATTCTAATACTGCATTTTTAAAACTATTCCAACCCTCTTCAACCCCCCACTACTCATCTTTGCACTAGCCCACCTTTCTGCCAATAGTCGCTTATATCTCACCCGAACTTCCTCCTCCCTTAGTTTATACACTTTCACTTCCCTCTTACTTGTTGTTGCCACCTTCCTCTTTTCCCATCTACCTCTTACTCTAACTGTAGCTACAACTAAATAATGATCCGATATATCAGTTGCCCCTCTATAAACATGTACATCCTGGAGCCTACCCATCAACCTTTTATCCACCAATACATAATCTAATAAACTACTTTCATTACGTGCTACATCATACCTTGTATATTTATTTATCCTCTTTTTCATAAAATATGTATTACTTATTACCAAATTTCTTTCTACACATAGCTCAATTAAAGGCTCCCCATTTACATTTACCCCTGGCACCCCAAATTTACCTACTACTCCCTCCATAACATTTTTACCCACTTTAGCATTAAAATCCCCAACCACCATTACTCTCACACTTGATTCAAAACTCCCCACGCATTCACTCAACATTTCCCAAAATCTCTCTCTCTCCTCTACACTTCTCTCTTCTCCAGGTGCATACACGCTTATTATAACCCACTTTTCACATCCAATCTTTATTTTACTCCACATAATCCTTGAATTAATACATTTATAGTCCCTCTTTTCCTGCCATAGCTTAGAATTATTATAGAATTATTATTATAGCTAGAATTATTGAGTATATATACGTCAAAAACATTGGCTCGTAAGACGTATTTATACGTCGAAAACAGTCAAAGGGTTAAAGCAACCCCAAACCATGAAGGATTGTGGGTGCTTTATGGTGCTCAGTGTATGCAGGGTTGTAACTGGTGTTGGAGGAGAACTGCCTCACCATCTTTGACGATCTTGGAAGCACTGAATAAGGATTCATCTGACCACGTGAATTATTTCCAGTCATCAACACTCCAGTGCACATATTTCCTGGAAGACTGCAGGTATTCCTTCTTCATACTGAACATAAGAAGGGGTTTCCATGCAGCACAGTGACTTGGCAGGAGGAGGAGGTCCTTTTGCAGGCAGTGATGCATGCACCAAATCAAGGAGCTCAGGATGCATTTCCTTGAGCTGTGATGCAGTCATATGTGGATTTCTATGTAGTTCTCTGCATAGAGAACTGGTTAGAGGCCATGGGCAGCAGCAAGTAAAGCCTTTATGCCAGACTGCTTGTCCAGTACTGTGACAAATTTCCTTTATGTTAGCTTTTTCCTATCTCCAAGCCAATATACAAGCTTTTTCCTCATTGTTCATCTTTGAATGACCCATATTTATCTACTAGGCACAAAATTACACAACACTAAATAGAGCTCCAAATCCTGGGCACTTGGGAGTAGAGCACTGCAATAAAACACTCTATCTTGCTGCCATATACAAACACATTAAGAAATGATACATTCTGAAGTCCCTTGTATTAACTCAGATTTGACAGATAACACCAGAAGACATTCAAATGAGGTATAGCATCAAATACATAACAGGAATTTGGACCACTTTATGCTGTTTGTAATGATGGCTGCATCACCTGAATGCATGACAATGCTTCCCTGTCACAAGGCAAAAAATGTAACCAAGTGGCTTGCTGAAAAAAATATTGATGGTTTACAGTGGCCAGAGAATAGTCCAGACCTCAGTCACATTGAAAATGTCTAGAATATTATGAAAAAGAAGGTGGAATCCTGCCATATTTCATTCGTGTCATGTCTGCAGCAGGAGGTGAAAAACATTCGGGTCAACCAGTTATCCACTGATTACTTCAGGAATGTGAGTGAAAGCATGTTCAGAAAGCTTCAAATGGTCATCAAAGCCAAGGGATAGACAACAAAATATTAAAGTATCAAGTGATAAAGTCTTTTGCTCTATAATGTTTATATTGTCGCTTTTTAAAAATTTTCATAATAATAAAGAGGAGGTCCAGATTATTTTTGTGGGCACTGTATGGTTCTAGTTTTTTTTTTAAACCACCTTCTCTTATAGTAGTTAGACTTAAAAAAAAAGAAAAAAAAAAAGCCATCAGGGCTTTATTGCTTCTGTATCATCCTTGTTAGAGCATTATCACATCAGTTATCTACAACTAAGCAAGAGTTTTCAGATAATATTAAAAAGTTTAGATGATGATGGTCCTTTATGTACATGAGGTAATGATTTTTTCTATAAATGTTATTATGTAGGGAAGTGAAGCCTGATGAGAGAGAATGGAGAAATGAAACAAAAATTATAGTTCCTAATGCTGCTAAGCAACGTGAAGAAGAACTTCGCAGAAAAGCTTTGGCTGAAAAGGAAAAAGAAATGGCTATTCTGCGAAAGGAAATGGTGAGCATTTTCTTTGTATCTGCTGTATACTGTATCATAAAGTATTGTTTCCAACTAGTTCCTTCTGTCTATTTGGTATCATAAAATGTTATTTCATACTAATATATCACTATTACCCTTACAGGCTTAGTCCTTTCATTGTGACTTGAAAAATATTTCCAACTCTTGTACTGTAATTAGCAGGCTAGCAGATAGCATTTCCTCTGAGTACTCCCGTTGTTACACACCTTAGTACACACCTCATTTCTAACACTACTTACTAACCTATAGATAACCATTATCTCTGCAAATCTGAACCATTTAAGCATTTTTATGTGTATTTTTCACCACAAAACTTAAGACACTGGTGTTATTAAAAGCTGCTGTTAGGCAGCTTTTAATAACACCAGTATGATCTGGTCACCTTTAAACTAGATGACCAGATCATAAAAACCTGACAGTCAGCATTCATATTCATGCATGTAATTTTTTAAGGTAGTAGGTTGGTAGACAGCAACCACCCAGGGAAGTACTACCATCCTGCCAGATGACTGTGAAACAGAAACCTGTAACTGTTTTGCATGATGGTAGGATTGCTGGTTTCTTTTTCTGTCTCATAAACACGCTAGATAACAGGGATATCTTGCTACTCCTACTTACACTTTGGTCACACTTCACAGACACGCACATGCATATATATATACATTTATCTAGGTTTTTCTCCTTTTTCTAAATAGCTCTTGTTCCTCTTTATTTCTTCTATTGTCCATGGGGAAGTGGAAAAGAATCTTTCCTCCGTAAGCCATGCGTGTCGTATGAGGCGACTAAAATGCCGGGAGCAATGGGCTAGTAACCCCTTCAGGAGACATTTACTAAAAAAGAGAAGAAGAAAAACTTTATAAAACTGGGGTGCTTAAATGTGCGTGGATGTAGTGCGGATGACAAGAAAACAATGATTGCTGATGTTATGAATGAAAAGAAGTTGGATGTCCTGGCCCTAAGCGAAACAAAGCTAAAAGGGGGTGGGGGAGTTTCGGTGGGGGGAAATAAATGGGATTAAATCTGGAGTATCTGAGAGAGTTAAGCAAAGGAAGGGGTAGCAGTAATGTTGAATGATCAGTTATGGAAGGATAAAAGAGAATATGAATGTGTAAATTCAAAAATTTATGTGGATTAAAGTAAAGGTTGGATGCGAGAAGGGGGTCATAATAAGCGTGTATGCACCTGGAGAAGAGAGGAATGCAGAGGAGAGAGAAGATTTTGGGAGATGTTAAGTGAATGTATAGGAGCCTTTTAACCAAGTGAGAGAGTAATTGTGGTAGGGACCTGAATGCTAAAGTAGGAGAAACTTTTAGAGAGGGTGTGGTAGGTAAAATTTGGGGGGGCCAGGTGTAAATGATAAAAGGAGCCCTTTGATTGAACTTTGTATAGAAAGGGGTTTGGTTATAGGTAATACATATTTTAAGAAAAAGAGGATAAATAAGTATACAAATATGATGTAGGGCGAAATGAACAGTAGTTTGTTGGGTTATGTATTGGTAGAAAAAAAGACTGTTGAGTAGACTTCAGGATGTACATGTTTATAGAGGGGCCACAGATATATCAGATCACTTTCTAGTTGTAGCTACACTGAGAGTAAAAGGTAATTGGATACAAGGAGAATAGAAGCATCAGGGAAGAGAGAGGTGAAGGTTTATAAACTAAAAGAGGAGGCAGTTAGGGTAAGATATAAACAGCTATTGGAGGATAGATGGGCTAATGAGAGCATAGGCAATGGGTCGAAGAGGTATGGGGTAAGGTTTAAAAATGTAGTGTAGAGTGTTCAGCAGAAGTTTTTTTGGTTACAGGAAAGTGGGTGCGGGAGGGAAAGGAGCGATTGGTGGAATGATGATGTGAAGAGAGTAGTAAGGGAGAAAAAGTTAGCATATGAGAAGTTTTTACAAAGAGAAGTGAGCAAGGAGGGAAGAATATGGGGAAAAAGAAGAGGTTAAGAAGTGGGGAAGCAAAGTAAAAAAGAGCAAATTTGAGAGAGTGGGGAATTTATCAACAAATTTTGGAAAATAAAAAAAAGTTTTGGAGTGAGATTAACAAGTTTTAAAAAAACCCAGAGAACAAAAGGATTTGTCATTAAAAAAGGAGAGGAGAGTTATTAAATGGGGAGTTAGAGGTATTGGGAAGAGGAGGGAATATTTTGAGGAATTGTTAAATGTTATGAAGATAGGGAACTGTGATTTCGTGTATAGGGCAAGGAGGAACAACACTTGTAGGAGTGAGGAAGAGCCAGTTTGAGTGTGGGGGAAGTTCGTGAGGGAGTAGGGAAAATGAAAGGGGGTAAGGCAGCCGGGGTTTATGGGATAAAGATAGAAATGTTAAAAGCAGGTGGGGGTATAGTTTTGGAGTGGTTGGTGCAATTATTTAATAAATGTATGGAAGAGGGCAAGGTACCTAGGGATTGGCAGAGAGCATGCATAGTTCCTTTGTATAAAGGCAAAGGGGATAAAAGAGAGTGCAAAAATTATAGGGGGATAAGTCTGTTGAGTATACCTGGCAAAGTGTATGGTAGAGTTATTATTGAAAGAATTAAGAGTAAGACAGAGAATAGGATAGCAGATGAACAAGGAGGCTTTAGGAAAGGTAGGGGGTGTGTGGACCAGGTGTTTACAGTGAAAAATATAAGTGAACAGTATTTAGATAAGGCTAAAGAGGTCTTTGTGGCATTTATGGATTTAGAAAAGGCGTATGACAGGAGGGGTGTTAATGTTGCAGTTTAAAAACTGTAGTGTAAAGCACCCTTCTGGCAAGACAGTGATGGAGTGAATGATGGTGAAAGTTTTTCTTTTTCGGGCCACCCTGCCTTGGTGGGAATCGGCCGGTGTGATAATAAAATAAAATAAAATATAAGTATGACAGGGTGGATAGGGGGGCAATGTGGCAGATGTTGCAGGTGTATGGTGTAGGAGGTAGGTTACTGAAAGCAGTGAAGAGTTTTTACGAGGATAGTGAGGCTCAAGTTAGAGTATGTAGGAAAGAGGGAAATTATTTCCCAGTAAAAGTAGGCCTTAGACAAGGATGTGTGATGTCACCGTGGTTGTTTAATATATTTATAGATGGGGTTGTAAGAGAAGTAAATGTGAGGGTCTTGGCAAGAGGTGTGGAGTTAAAAGATAAAGAATCACACATAAAGTGGGAGTTGTCACAGTTGCTCTTTGCTGATGACACTGTGCTCTTGGGAGATTCTGAAGAGAAGTTGCAGAGATTGGTGGATGAATTTGGTAGGGTGTGCAAAAGAAGAAAATTGAAAGTGAATACAGGAAAGAGTAAGGTTATGAGGATAACAAAAAGATTAGGTGATGAAAGATTGGATATCAGATTGGAGGGAGAGAGTATGGAGGAGGTGAATGTATTCAGATATTTGGGAGTGGACGTGTCAGCAGATGGGTCTGTGAAAGATGAGGTGAATCATAGAATTGATGAGGGGAAAAGGGTGAGTGGTGCACTTAGGAGTCTGTGGAGACAAAGAACTTTGTCCTTGGAGGCAAAGAGGGGAATGTATGAGAGTATAGTTTTACCAACGCTCTTATATGGGTGTGAAGCATGGGTGATGAACGTTGCAGCGAGGAGAAGGCTGGAGGCAGTGGAGATGTCATGTCTGAGAGCAATGTGTGGTGTGAATATAATGCAGAGAATTTGTAGTTTGGAAGTTAGGAGGAGGTGCGGGATTACCAAAACTGTTGTCCAGAGGGCTGAGGAAGGGTTGTTGAGGTGGTTCGGACATGTGGAGAGAATGGAGCGAAACAGAACACCCTAGCATTTACTTCTTTTACAACCCCATCTATAAATATATTAAACAACCATGGTGACATTACACATCCCTGTCTAAGACCTACTTTTACCGGGAAGTATTTTCCCTCTCTTCTACACACCCTAACCTGAGCCTCACTATCCTCATAAAAACTCTTAACAGCATTTAGTAACTTACCACCTATTCCATATACTTGCAACATCTGCCACATTGCTCCTCTATCCACTCTATCATATGCCTTTTCTAAATCCATAAATGCAATAAAAACTTCCCTACCTTTATCTAAATACTGTTCACATATATGCTGCAATGTAAACACTTGATCTACACATCCCCTACCCACTCTGAAGCCTCCCTGCTCATCCGCAATCCTACATTCTGTCTTACCTCTAATTCTTTCAATTATAACCCTACCGTATACTTTTCCTGGTAATACTCAGTAAACTTATTCCTCTATAATTTTTACAATCTCTTTTGTCCCCTTTCCCTTTAATAAAGGGACATACTGCCTCCCCCCCAATCCCAATACCTTCCCCTCTTTCATACATTTATTAAAAAAAAAGCCCAAACCACTCCAACACTATATCCCCCCCTGCTTTTAACATTTCTGTCATGATCCCACAGTTCCAGCTGTTTTACCCCCCTTTCTTTCACGAAGCTCACGACCTCCACCCTTTTCTTTGCTCTTCTTCATCCTTAAAGATGGTATACCCCCCTGGCCAGTGCATAAAATTACCCCCCCCCCTTTCTTCCTCAACATTAAAAGTTCCTCAAAAATCTCCCCATCAAACCTAATACCTCCCCTTCCCCATCTACTTTTTCCCCTACTCTGTTTTTAACTGACAAAACCCCTATTTTCCCCTAGGCTTTTTTTAATTTTTAACTCACTCCAAATTTTTTCTTATTTTCTTTAAAAATTTTCTTGCAGTGCCTCCCCCACTCATCATCTGCTCTCCTTTTTGCACTCCTCACCACTCCTTCACCTTTCTTTTACCCCCATATCATACTCTGCTCTTTTTAAACACTTCTGCTTTGAAAAAAAACCTCTATAAGCTCCCTTTTTCTTTTTTAAATCACACCCTTTTTTTCCACATTCCACCGCCCCTTTCCTCTTTCCTCCTGCCCCCACCCTCCTATAACCACAACTTCTCCCCCACATTCAAATCTGCTTTTTTTAAAACTACCCAACCCTCTTAAACCCCCCCCACTACTCATTTTTGCACACCCCCTTTCCAAAGTCGCTTATATCCACCTAAAATTCCCCCTCCCTTAGTTTATACACTTTCACCTCCCTCTTTTTTGTTGTGCCCCCCCTTCCTCTTTCCCATTTCCTCTTTTCTCTAACTTGACGACAATAAAAAATGATGATATATCAGTTTTCCCCTCTATAAAATGTCTCCGGAGCCAACCATCAACCTTTTATCCACCAATACATAATCTAACAAACTACTTTCATTACGTTCTACATCATACCTTGTATATTTATTTATCCTCTTTTTCATAAAATATGTATTACTTATTACCAAATTTCTTTCTACACATAGCTCAATTAAAGGCTCCCCATTTACATTTACCCCTGGCACCCCAAATTTACCTACTACTCCCTCCATAACATTTTTACCCACTTTAGCATTGAAATCCCCAACCACCATTACTAATTACTAATTACTAATATATTTCTAGGAGTTGTCTTAGGAAAGTTTGGAAGGAGGGGGTAAAGGAAGTTTTGCATGCTAGGGGCTTATACATGTTATATAGGAGTGAATGGAGGCAACTGGTTTTTATGACTAGACGTGCTGTTGAAATGTGAGCAAGGCAACATTTATGAAGGGATCCAGGGAAAACTAATTTGCTGGACTTTAGTCCTGGAGGTGGGAAGTACAGTGCCTGCACTCTTACGGAGGGGTAGGGATAGTTGAAGTTTTGAACTGTAGTATCGGCATACCTCAGGCAAGACAGTGATGGAGTGAGTGATGGTGAAAGTGTCTTCTTTGCCAGGCCACCCAGCGTTGGTGAGAGATGGCCAGTGTGTTATAAAATATTTCTACCTTTCCCATTAATTATTATAACAAAAACTGTCAGTACAGTTGTGTTGCAATTTCTTTATATTCGCATTGCTGTTTTAATTGCAGTTTTGTTACCTGTAAAAATCATTACATTTAGTAATCCTGCATGGTAAAGGTCATTATCTTCAGATAGCATAATTATTTTAAATTTAGCATTCAAATAATCTAACTTTGAACTATTCAGTGTCAAGTAGTTTCTAGTTCTGGTTTTAATATGCCCAAAGTGCTCTACATTTTGAAAGTAATTTTTTTTAACATGTCGGCTGTGTCCCACCGACGCAGGGTGACCCGAAAAGAAAGAAAAAAATTTCATCATCATTCAACACTTTCACCATCATTCATACATAATCACTGTCTTTGGAGAGCCACTTAAATGTGGCAGTTTAGATGTCCCTCCAAACTGCCAATATCCCAAATCCCTCCTCTTAAGTGTAAGACCTAATGCAGAAATCCAGAAAAATATTTTCAAGGATAGGTTACAGTTTTGGTTTCTATCATGCATATTTTTCCACTTACCCAGGTATTATGGTTTTGTAGTATGTGTGTTTAATGTTGGCTGAGGATATTAGAACCCTATTCAAAATATCTTGTGATGAACTGTAAATGTAAACTGGTTATCATCATGTAAAGTGAGTACAGGTAAGAAATACAAACTTAAATATATTATTTTTTTTTATTTACAGGCTGAACGAAAAGAAATTGCTGAACGGATCCGTGCTGAACATCGCAGAGATCAAGAGACAAAGCGTGTAAAAAGTGCTGCCAAGGCTGTACCAAGGGGCAAGGGTGAAACTTCAAAAATGACTGATTTGTTGCCTAAATCTGGTGGGGGATGAGGTTAAATGTAAGTCAGTTGCCAGCTATGAGCTATGGTAAATCCCTCTTGTGGTATAGAAATGGTTGTGAACAGTTATTTTAAGGCAATGTTTCTATTGCTAAAATGGTTTTGGTAAGCTATGTTTTTATTGTTTTGCAAGTTAATTTAAGTTTACAGCAGTACTGAAAGTTTGCTGTTAAAGGACTCTAAAACTTAAGCTCACACCTGAAAGTTTATCACAAGACTAAGAGAATTGCTCATTCTGGTTACTGACTTCCTAATAATTATTTATTTATTGTCTTAGTATGAATAGTTTTTAAATGTATTTCTGTATAGGGGAGAGCAAAGATCCTATGGACACTTTTTACAATCTTATATGTTTAAATTTTAGCTTTATAGGTAGACTCATTTGGATTGTGTTATAACTTCATTAGGTCTTGAAGGGTTTTTACCCCTGACATTTAACATTCTACGATAGTAAGTTTTGTAGGTAGACCTTTTTTAATAAAATTAAGCAGCTGTCTGAAATTAGCCCACTTGTGTGAATGAATCATATATGTGGTAGGAATGCTTAGCAATTCATTTTTTTTTACCACGCTGTCCATCCACCAGGGTAAGGTAACCCCTTTTCCCCAATAAATGCAAAGGAAACACATTCAACATCTTTCACTCAGAATCTGTCTAGCCGACAATGCTGAGACATTACAGTTCAAAGAACCTTTTAAACTGCAACACTGTGCTTTCCACTTCCAGGTCTCAGTTCAGCTAACCAGTTTTACCCTGAATCTCTTCATAAATGTTACATTGCCTACCACTTGCTTCCACTCTCTCTGATGTAACACACTCACACATGCCTACTGGATGTTCAAGCCCCTACCACTTAAAATCTCCTTTACTCCCTCCCTCCAATGTTTCAAGGGTTGACCTCTGCCCCTTCTTCCTTCCACCCATGATTTATGCACCTTCTTGGTCATCCTATGCTGCTCCATCCTTTCTAAAGGCCTAAATCACTTCAACAACCCCTCTTCCATCATATGAATTATTCCTCTCTTAACCTCCACACCATCTTCTAATTGCCATGTTCAAAATTCTCTGCATAATATCCATACCCCACACACATTGTTCTCAAATGAAATATATCTATTACCTCTACATGTGTAAAATTAAATTCTACAGGAAGATACATTTTTATTATATCTTGGTATGGGTGTATACATTGGTTAATTTCAACTTGTCTTTGAAATTTAATGTTCCATGACAAAATTTGGAATGTGTGAAGTGCCAAATAACTGACCAGTTGCATCTTTCACATGATGCTAGACCAGAGACTTGATGGTCATATTCTTAAGTATTTCCTATGCTTCTTATGTTTATAGTATTATTCCATCATTTGGAGATTAGGAGGAGGTGTGGGATTACCAAAACTATTATCCAGAGGGCCGAGGAGAGGTTATTGAGATGGTTTGGACATGTAGAGAGGATGGAACAATATAGAATAACTTCAAGAGTATACAAATCTGTAGTGGAGGGAAGGCGAGGTAGGGGTCAGCCTAAGAAAGGTTGGAGGGAGGGGTAAAGGGGTTTTTTGTGCGAGGGGCTTGGACTTCCAGCAAGTGTGCGTGAGCATGTTAGACAGGAGCGAATGGAGACAAAAGATTTTTAGGACTTGATGTGCTGTTGGAGTGTAAGCAAGGTAACATTTATGAAGAGATTCAGGGAAGTGGGCAGGCAGGACTTGAGTCCTGGAGATGGGAAGTACAGTGTCTGCATTCTGAAGGAAGGGTGTTAATGTTGCAGTTTTATAACTAGTGTAAGCACCCCTCTGGCAAGATAGTGATGGAGTGAATGATGATGAAAGATTTTCTTTTTTGGGCCACCTTACCTTGGTGGGAAATGGCCAATCTGTTAATAAAAAAATAATAAATTTTAAATTATTATAAAGCATAAAAGAATCATTATAGCAAATCACACATTATAAGTAATGGTTTATACAGCTGTCTGTGCCCTCAATCATATCAACAAGTGTACTGTCTATTATAAAAACAGTGAATTCTAGCATTTGAACAAGATGAACACAAAATTTTATGTATCATTCACTAAAGAAATGCATAGATGTTGCAATTTATATACAATTGCACCTAGGTCAGAAACTCTGTGGACATCTTTGATCATAATGTAGGACAGTGAAGTCATAACATATTCACACTAAATCTCGAGAGTACAGGTCCAGTTTAATGTTTTTTGGGCAAATAGACCGTCCAAGCTACCTAGCTGTCTAAACCATCATTGCTCTCCCCCTAACTTGCTTAAAGTACTGTAGTGTAATTTTATTCACATTGAAATAATACAGTAGAGAATATTGGATATGAATACAGTGGAATTATTAGGTATTTCTTATGAGCATTTTGGGGAATCGTTTAGCTCTCACAAAAATACATCAGTTATTACTGTAATGTACTGCTTCAGAAAAAAGTTCCTGGACACTCTACTGGGCAGAAATAATATTGGGCAACTCATGTAATGAACAGAAGAATAAAGACTATTTTCATGAATGAATAGTGCAGCTTGTAATGAAGATTGTGATTGGGTGACAAAATTAATTGCCAGTACTTTCTGTGTATCTTTATAACAGTAGATTTATGAGTGTAGATATAAATTAATTACCATTTGTATATCATATCCAAGAATATAAAACCAAAAAAAAAATATTTGAAAAGGTAACTGAATATATTGTAAGAGAATTGTAAGGAAAGTGTTACCATCGTACATCAGTCATATCTACTCAGGTAAAGCATAATTTTGATTTATGATAAATGGACACAGATACAACTAATATGACACTTTATTTTAGCAATGTTTTGCTCACCCGGAGCTTTGTCAATCTGTTACAAACAATGCAGGGATGCATGAGATATATATAGGTAACAAGGGTCCTTAATTGCCATTTCAAACACTGTTAAACAGAAAAGAGGCAGTTTTGCCATCTTCTCTTTCAAAGGGCAGGCATTGTACCTCCCACCTCCAGGACTCAAGACCGACTAACCGGTTTCCCTGAATCCCTTCACATAATATTACCCTGCTCATACTCCAACAGCTTGTCAAGTCCCAAAAACCATTCGTCTCCATTCACTCCATTCACTCCTGCTTGAGTGTGTTAGATAGGAGTGAATGGAGACGAATGGTATTTGGGACCTGACGATCTGTTGGAGTGTGAGCAGGGTAATATTTGGTGAAGGGATTCAGGGAAACTTGTTATTTTTATATAGCTGGACTTGAGTCCTGGAAATGGGAAGTGCAATGCCTGCACTTTAAAGGAGGGGTTTGGGATATTGGCAGTTTGGAGGGATATGTTGTGTATCTTTATACGTATATGCTTCTAAACTGTTGTATTCTGAGCACCTCTGCAAAAACAGTGATTATGTGTGAGTGAGGTGAAAGTGTTGAATGATGATGAAAGTATTTTCTTTTTGGGGATTTTCTTTCACTTTGGGTCATCCTGCCTCGGTGGGAGACAGCCGACTTGTTAAAAAAAAAAAAATGTATGTAAATTAACAGTATTCTGTAAGACATTATGTAGACCTCGTCCATCAAAGTTATGCTTACATGAGCAGATATGACTGATGTATGATTATTATGGACCTTTTCTCAATCATAATACTTCCCTTACAATACATTTTATATTAAGTCACCTTTTCAAATAATTTATGTTTTTATAATGTTGAATATGATATCAGAACGGTAATAAATTCATGTATGCATTCGCAAATCTATTTCTGTATAGATGCACAAAGTACCGGCAATTAATTTTTTCAACCAGTCACTACTGTCATTACAAGCTGCGCTAATTCATTCATGACAATATTCTTAACCCCTCTGTTTACTACGTCTAGGTTGCCTGATAGCATTTCTGCTCAGGAACTCTCCTGGAACTTTTTTCCCCAACTGTACATGGTAGAAATATTACATTACAAACATGTAAAAATGTAAATTTAAGAGAAGTATCCTTTTATTAATTATTGTCGTTGTTAAACTCCATTTAATTAGCAGTAACTCTTTAAGAGAACTAACTACTGTATTGTATTCTGTGACTAGGCAATTTCACTTATTACTTTAAAAAATATACAAATAATTTAGCTTGTATTCTAATATATATGAAACTTTTACCAGAAAGACTATCAAGCCAGGATAAAAGTGGATGTCTTTTATTAGGATTACAAGTTAATAACCAGCCTGTAAAATAAAATATTGTGTGTGTGTGTGTGTGTGTGTGTGTGTGTAATATAATTAGCTGCACTATGACTTCGTTTTCATTGATAATTAATGAAGCTCTCACTAACAGCTTATAACAAGATTGAAGAGGTCAGAAAGAAAGTGGATAACATGTTATACCAAGGACTCCTGGAGCGAAAAGGATACAGGTTATGCTGATGACTTCTAGAGTGAAAGTGGATACATATTCTGTGGAGGACTGCTAGAGTGAAAGTAGATGCATACGTATTTTGCTAGTGAAGGTGTATACATATTCGGCTAGAGTGAAAATGGATACATATTCTGCTAGAAAGTGGATACATATTCTGCTAGTGAAAGTGGATATATATTCTGCTAGAAAGTAGATACATATTCTGCTAGAAAGTGGATACATATTCTTCTAGTGAAAGCAAATATATATATTCTTGTTAGTGAAAGTGGATACATATTCTGCTAGAAAGTGGATACATATTCTGCTAGTGAAAGTGGATACATATTCTGCTAGAGTGAAAGTGGTTATGTATGCTAGTGAGAGTTGATGCATATTCTGCTAGTGACAGTGGATGCATATTCTGCTAGTGAAAGTGGATGCATATTCTGCTAGAGTGAAAGTGGATACTTATTCTCCTGAGAGCTGGAGTTACCTGGAGAGGGCTGCTAGAAGTGGATACATATTTTAATGAGGACTGCTGAATATTCTGCTGAGGAAGGCTAGAGTGAAAATATATACATGTTTTGCTCAGGGCTGCTAGAGTTATATTTAGGGCACGAAAGTGAATTTAAGATTTATTTTTTGGGGGGGGACTTTGCTGTACGTATATGATAAAACGCTATTGTAGTATATCACATAGCTTCTTCAGCTGGAGTATAATGTGACATACCTTTGTGATTTGGTGTATTGATAGTTTTTTTGTAGTTGTTTTCCATCACTTATTTTTCGATTTTTGTTACACAGTAATATATTTTGAATGGGGGTTATGATTTTTTTACTTCAACAACTTCAATAAATAGGATATAGAGTACTAACCTCTATTAAAATATTTTTTTTTTTTTTATGTTTGTAACTGATAAAAACTATAGGGGTTAAAGATTAAGGAAATGTTTCTTTTCTTTAGAGTCATCAGTTAAATTGAAGTAAATGAACAATGCAATATGGAAAGGTACATTTACAGACTGTTTCACATAAAGATTCAATTGGAAAAACATTCATAAAACATTTTGTCTACCCTTTCTAGCCATTGCTGAATAACCCATGCAGGGTTAGCAGTTTATTGTATATACAGTGGAACCCTGGATTTTGTTCGCACTGGATATTGTACGATTCGGATTTTGACCACTTCTTTCAGCGAAATTTTGCTTCGGATTTTGTACCTCGTCCTGGAAATCGTCCATATCAGACGCATCCTCCCACCCGGGACACCGCCACTCATGCATACATGTTTCAGTCTGGCTCTGTCACTGGTTGAGTGAGCATTCATCTAAAACATTTTGTAATAATCCATTGTTTTTTGTGCTTGTTTATTGAGTATGACTGCAAAATAAGCCACCATGGGCCCAAAGAAAGTTCCTAGTGCCAGCCCTTTGGTAAAGAAGGTGAGAAACACGATAGAATTCAAGAAAGAGATTGTAGAAAAATATGAAAGTGGCGTAAGTGTGGCCGAGCTCACCAGGATGTATGGCAAGTTCAAATCAACAATCAGTACCATCCTGGCAAAGAAAGTAGAAATCAAGGAAGCTGATGTTGTGAAAGGGGTAAATATGCTAGCGAAACATATCACAAACAGTGATTAAGAACATTTGTGCAAAGTGGAATAAGGTGCAAACTTTTGTGGAAAAATATCACCCTGACCAAGCTGATAGAAGCCGTATCTGCAACATGTTCAGTGACAATACCTTGTCCCATTTTAGGCAAATCTTAAAGAGATGCCAGAAACAGAGCTCTCTGGACAGATTTTTGTGCAACATGGTCCCAGTGCCAATAAAAGACAAAGATAGGGCTTTGATACCTGAAGTTCTTATGTAGGGGGATTCTCCTTCCAAACAATAACCTCTGCTCCTCCTCCCTCTCCCCTCCTCGCCATCCATACCCCAACAAGAGTTTTCAATGAAGGTAAGTGTGATATTAAATGTTCATTTATCCATTTCATTAGTCATTTATACCTCTTTCTCATTGTTTTCTGTATGTAAAACTATAGTTATACTTTAAAAAATGTATTTTTTGTTAATATTTTTGGGTGTCTCGAATGGATTAATTGTATTTACATTATTTCTTATGGGAAATATTGCTTCAGTTTTTGTCTGTTTCAGATTTAGACCGACCTGGAACGGTGTCAGTGCCCCATGTGTGGGCTCAGCAGTGTGAACCAATTGCAAAGCATCACTATATATATAGATAAAATTACAAACAACTCTATAAGAGGGTTTATTGTATTATACATTTGTGTGTGTACAGTGTATACTGTATATAGCACAATGAACTACATATGCTATAAAAATGGTGTTCCTATAAGTTCATAATTTATAATTCTGTTTAATAATGGTATCTTTATTTCCACAAGTACATGAGCAGAGTATATGGAGAGTAAAAGAAAGGTGAAGAGAGTGGTGAGAGAGTGCAAAAGGAGAGCAGATGAAAGAGTGGGAGAGGCACTGTGAAGAAATTTTAATGAAAATAAGAAAAAAATTTGGAGTGAGTTAAACAAGTTAAGAAAGCCTAGGGAAAGTATGGATTTGTCAGTTAAAAACAGAGTAGGGGAGTTAGTAGATGGGGAGAGGGAGGTATTAGGTAGATGGCGAGAATATTTTGAGGAACTTTTAAATGTTGAGGAAGAAAGGGAGGCGGTAATTTCATGCACTGGCCAGGGAGGTATACCATCTTTAGGATGAAGAAGAGCATAATGTAAGTGTGGTGGGGGTACGTGAGGCATTACGTAGAATGAAAGGGGGTAAAGCAGCTGGAACTGATGGGAATCATGACAGAAATGTTAAAAGCAGGGGGGGAAAAGGGTGTTGGAGTGGTTGGTACTTTGTTTAATAAATGTATGAAAGAGGGGAAGGTACCTGGGGAAATTGGCAGAGAGCATGTATAGTCCCTTTATATAAAGGGAAAGGGGACAAAAGAGATTGTAGAAATTATAGAGGAATAAGTTTACTGATATACCAGGAAAAGTATACGGAAAGGGTTAAAATTGAAAGAATTAGAGGTAAGACGAATGTAGAATTGCGGACGAGCAAGGAGGCTTCAGAGTGGGTAGGGGATGTGTAGATCAAGTTTTTTACATTGAAGCATATATGTGAACAGTATTTAGATAAAGGTGGGGAATTTTTATTGCATTTAGGGATTTAGAAAAGGCATATGATAGAGTGGATAGAGGACAATGTGGCAGATGTTGCAAGTATATGGAATGGGGTGGTAAGTTACTAAATGCTGTAAAGAGTTTTTATGAGGATATTTAAGGCTCAGGTTAGGGTGTGTAGAAGAGAGGGAGAATAACTTCCCAGTAAAATAGGTTCTTAGACAGGGATTGTAATGTCACCATGGTTGTTTAATATATTTATAGATGGGGTTGTAAAAGAAGTAAATGCTAGGGTGTTCGGGAGAGGGTGGGGTTAAATTATGGGGGAATCAAATTCAAAATGGGAATTGACACAGTTACTTTTGCTGATGATACTGTGCTTATGGAGATTCTAAAAAAAAATTGCAAAGGTTAGTGGATGAGTTTGAGAATGTGTTAAAGGTAGAAAGTTGAAAGTGAACATAGAAAAGAGTAAGGTGATGAGGGGATCAAATGATTTAGATAAAGAAAAATTGGATATCAAATTGGGAAGGAGGAGTATGGAAGAAGTGAATGTTTCAGATACTTGGGGGTTGACGTGTCGGCGGATGGATTTATGAAGATGAGGTTAACCATAGAATTGATGAGGGAAAAAAGGTGAGTGGTGCTTGAGGTATATGTGGAGTCAAAAAAAAGTTTTCTATGGAGGCAAAGAAGGAATGTATGAAAGTATAGTATACCAACACTCTTATATGGATGTGAAGCTTTGGGGGGTAAATGCAGCAGCGAGGAGATGGTTGGAGGCATGGAGATGTCCTGTCTAAGGGCAATGTGTGGTGTAAATATTATGCAGAAAATTCGGAGTGTGGGAAAATTTGGAGAAGGTGTGGAGTTAATAAAAGCATTTGTCAGAGGGCAGAAGAGGGGTTGTTGAGGTGGTTTGGTCATTTAGAGAGAATGGATCAAGTAGAATGACATGGAAAGCATATAAATCTATAGGGGAAGGAAAGAGGGGGAGGGGTCATCCTCGAAAGGGTTGGAAAGAGGGGGTAAAGGAGGTTTTGTGGGCGAGGGGCTTGGACTTCCAGCAAGCGTGCATTAGCGTGTTAGATAGGAGTGAATGGAGACGAATGATACTTGGGACCTGACGATCTGTTGGAGTGTGAGCAGGGTAATATTTAGTGAAGGGATTCAGGAAAACCGGTTATTTTCATATAGTCGGACTTGAGTCCTGGAAATGGGAAGTACAATGCCTGCACTTTAAAGGAGGGGTTTGGGATATTGGCAGTTTGGAGGGATATGTTGTGTATCTTTATACGTATATGCTTCTAAACTGTTGTATTCTGAGCACCTCTGCAAAAGCAGTGATAATGTGTGAGTGTGGTGAAAGTGTTGAATGATGAAAGTATTTTCTTTTTGGGGATTTTCTTTCTTTTTTGGGTCACCCTGCCTCGGTGGGAGATGACCGACTTGTTCAAAAAAAAAAAAAAAAACATGTACAAGGTATACAGGCCTAGCTGACATCAGTGACATACTACTATATAGAAAACTGCTTGTTATGCACAGCATTTCAGGCAAATTAGGTCAGTTTTGTCCCAGGATGCAACCCACACCAGTTGACTAACATCTAGCTACCCATTTTACTGATGGGGAACATAGACAACCAGTGTAAGGAAACATGCCCATTGTTTCTACCCTCGCCGTGTGAAGCAAGAGCTTTTAGCCACCAGGCCACAGGGCCTGGTGGATGCATGTTAAGTTTTGTAAATATCTCTATTAGTGATAAATATACATTGTCCAAAAAAGTGTAAAAGGCTTTTACATATTTTTCCCTTTTATTCTGTACAATATTATTATTCCAGAGATAACTTGAATTAATTTGTGTTTCTGTTTTCTATTAGCTTATGTCTGTGCTTGGTGTGACAAGTGTAATGTGAAGACTAAAAGTTTGTTGAAATGGTAGTGGTATTTCACCACACCACACCACTCCTATCGGACTAACACACCTAAGGCAATTGCCTGAAATTTTTACATGCTAAAACTGCCTTTTCCTCCCAGTATTTAATTCCTTCAAATTTCCTTTATAAGTCACAAATATTTTTAATTCATTTTGTATTTCTGACAAAATAGCCACCACCCAACTTTCCTGTTGGCTGTTGGGCAGTTTTAATCATCATTTCTTTTAGGATGGGTCTCATTTTGAGATTTCCTCCTCCTCCTCGCTAACAGCCCTACCTTACCTTTAACTTTTTGACAGTAACAGATTTATTACACAACTTTTGATTATACTTCCTTTAGCATTCCTCACCACCCTTACAGACTCTGCCTGTTATACTCTCCACCCTTGCTAGTCTCTGATCAAGCATATTAAACAGCAGACCCTACCCTGCAGTGCTGTATGACCCTTGTGGGTTTAGTGCTTAGTTTGATTATAATAATAATGAGAGACTTACTGTAACTTCATCATTGATAGGTACTGTTATCATGTCTACATCTTAACCCTTAAACTGTCCAAACGTTGATCTACATTTTTTCAACATTTGAAAGTATGTAAAAAAAATAGATCTTTTTGTTTTTTTACATTTGAAAACGTGTAAAAAACTTTGATCTATGTTTTTTTTGTTATTGAAAATATGTAAAAAAAACGTAGATCTACTGTTGGAGCACTACGCATGTGAACATAGATCTGTTTGGACAGTTTAAGGGTTAATATATGGCCATTCCTTGTGATAATTGCAGTGCTATTATTAGCACTCCATATAGGAATGCTGATAGTGTAAATAAGTGATTTAGAAAACCAACACATTGATAAATGAGACACTTGTGCAGCATTTGGATATCTTCATTCTGGAAACATTTTGCCAGCCAATGGCTTCAGTCTAACATAGGTAAAGGTGGAAGATGAGATGTTGAGGTATTCAGTCCCTCAGCCTGGAGTT